ATTATGGCGGAATTTTGGGAATATGTTAGTTTGTCTCATTTTTGGTAGGTTTAACTACTTTGGGAATTTTAAAAATTAAAGCTGTTTCGTTAATTTGGGTCTTTCATTAGCTTGCTCGATGGAAATTTATGGAGAAATTTAGGAATGCCTCTATGTCGCATTTTTTATACGTTTCACTACTTTGGGGAATTTTTTAAATTAACGCTGTTTGGTTCATTTGGGTCTTTGAGTAATTCTCTCGATGGGAAAGTATGGGGAAAGTTTGGAATGTGTTTTGACTACTTTGGGGAATTTTTAAGATTAACGCTGCTTGGTTAATTTGAGACTGCGATTGGGAATTTGTTTGTATGTCGCATTTTTGGTAGGTTTGACTACTTTGAGGAATTTTTAAGAGTAACGCTGGTAAGTTAATTCGGGTCTTTGATTAGCTCGCTCGAGGGGAAATTATGGCGGAAATTGGGAATGTCTGTATGTCGCGTTTTTGGTACGTATCACTACTTTGAGAAATTTTTAAGATGAACGTTGTTAGGTTACAAGCACTGCTATGTGCCTTTTACCTAATTTTTGAGGACGTTTATTTTCAGAGATATTTGCAACACAATTCAATCACAAAAATGGTTCAAAATTCTCTCGAAAGAAATTAATATTTTTACTCCGACACTTGCGTTTGAAGTGACTTGACCAATTAACAAACGAATTATTATGGATCACTAGCTACCATAAAAACAAAGAGCTGATATTTCATATATCAAATTCCTCTGAAATGCGCAACAAATTTCCTTCCCACAAACGTGTTCCAAGCACCAAATACAAGGTGTCTCGATAAAATTATTCTCGTCGTACAACGAACAACTGGACGTTCACCCTCGAAGGGGCACTCGACGAGTTCTCGTCGATATTTCTTTCGTTGGTGGGGCGGAAACGGTGAAAAGGACTTGTCCCCGCATCCGGTGTAGTTTGTAAAGCAGGCAGAGGTAGCTGCCGCGATGCATATAAATGATTGCTACGACGAGAGGCCGACCGAATTGCCGGAGAACCGGCACAGACTGAGAGAGAGCGAGGAAATAGTACAGTCCGATCGAGATTTAGACGTGAAGAGAAGGTTAGATGGAAGGTCGATAGTCGCGTGGAATACAAAGTAATTTCGAGGGGAGTTGGGTGATTCGTTGTGCAAGAGAAGAAAATCTCGTCTCTGTTCGAAATTTCTACAAAAGCAGCTAGTAGCTTTAGGAATGCCTCTATGTCGCATTTTTTATACGTTTCACTACTTTGGGGAATTTTTTAAATTAACGCTGTTTGGTTCATTTGGGTCTTTGAGTAATTCTCTCGATGGGAAAGTATGGGGAAAGTTTGGAATGTGTTTTGACTACTTTGGGGAATTTTTAAGATTAACGCTGCTTGGTTAATTTGAGACTGCGATTGGGAATTTGTTTGTATGTCGCATTTTTGGTAGGTTTGACTACTTTGAGGAATTTTTAAGAGTAACGCTGGTAAGTTAATTCGGGTCTTTGATTAGCTCGCTCGAGGGGAAATTATGGCGGAAATTGGGAATGTCTGTATGTCGCGTTTTTGGTACGTATCACTACTTTGAGAAATTTTTAAGATGAACGTTGTTAGGTTACAAGCACTGCTATGTGCCTTTTACCTAATTTTTGAGGACGTTTATTTTCAGAGATATTTGCAACACAATTCAATCACAAAAATGGTTCAAAATTCTCTCGAAAGAAATTAATATTTTTACTCCGACACTTGCGTTTGAAGTGACTTGACCAATTAACAAACGAATTATTATGGATCACTAGCTACCATAAAAACAAAGAGCTGATATTTCATATATCAAATTCCTCTGAAATGCGCAACAAATTTCCTTCCCACAAACGTGTTCCAAGCACCAAATACAAGGTGTCTCGATAAAATTATTCTCGTCGTACAACGAACAACTGGACGTTCACCCTCGAAGGGGCACTCGACGAGTTCTCGTCGATATTTCTTTCGTTGGTGGGGCGGAAACGGTGAAAAGGACTTGTCCCCGCATCCGGTGTAGTTTGTAAAGCAGGCAGAGGTAGCTGCCGCGATGCATATAAATGATTGCTACGACGAGAGGCCGACCGAATTGCCGGAGAACCGGCACAGACTGAGAGAGAGCGAGGAAATAGTACAGTCCGATCGAGATTTAGACGTGAAGAGAAGGTTAGATGGAAGGTCGATAGTCGCGTGGAATACAAAGTAATTTCGAGGGGAGTTGGGTGATTCGTTGTGCAAGAGAAGAAAATCTCGTCTCTGTTCGAAATTTCTACAAAAGCAGCTAGTAGCCCGTTTCGACGTGAGTTTCGTTTATGAAGTTCCTAGAAAATCAGTCGTTATTGACGCTGGAAACGCGCATGCATGGTAATTGTGCGAGCTCTGGATACGTAGAACAAAGTTCCTTGATTCTCTTTTTGTTGTTGTTACTCTTCTATGTTCTTTTTTTTTTTAGTTTTACCAACTTTCTACGTGGAACAATTGTCAGAAGTTGATGAATAGGCCACGGCTCGTGTATCTCGTTTTTAGGTGAACAGTGGAGGCAAGAATAACTATTGTGCTCTATCTGCTCCTGCGATAGTGTTTCTATATTTGAAGGGATAGTTCGATGGATAGATGCTTGGGAATATTTTTATGCGAATAAGCTCAATACAGGAACCTCCTTTGTCGGAATAACACTTTGTATCCCGTACAAAATTGTACTCCAGTAATTTACGCCAGTTCTTCGTTTATAATACAGCGTGCTGAAAAGGACATGTCGACACATATGCATACATTTCTTTTCTGCAACTGTGATTGGAGTAATATTAAAAATTTTGCTACACATTTGGTAAATTTTACCTCAGATTTTGGTGAAGATCTGATAAGAACGGTAATATCAGTAGGAGAAATCAGTTTTAATTCTAATTTTTGATTTAATAAAACCGAAGATTGCCAAATTTAATAAGTGTACAATATTGTACGTTAGCTCTTATTACTTAATATATTACCGAAACACTAAATAGTTGACGCTTAGAAGCACAGTCAGGAAAGGAAATCATACGTGAAGGGGTTAAGCAGAATATATTAGTTAATACGATAAGAATTAAATTACAGAGAAATTTGGCAAAGGTTCGCATAACCGTTCCACCGAAAGATTTCTCAAATTGCCGCTCTTCGGTTCGAAGTTCGTAAAACTGCAAGAGGGGAGTTTTATTTGGTCTCGCGGTTCCCTTGGATCGCGCGTTAAACGCGAGGGACCGGAAAACCATCGACGCTTTCGAGAACGACGCTTCAATTTGGACGAAGCTCGGTCGACGACGAGTTGCTCCGTTTCAAACAGCGACCACGAGGATACTTTTACAGGCGATCGAGCCCCTCGAAATCTGATAGCGACGGAACTACGTGGAACTTTCTCTCTGCACTCTCCTCTTTCTCTCTCTCTCTTCGAGATATCGTTCCAGTGGAAGTTGACTCGATTCGGTTGCAAGGATGGATGCCACGGGTAAAATGTATTCTTCTATCGGGTTCGCTGGAAAATTCTTCTTACTCGAATCGCCTCCGCGGATTCGATTAATTTCCTCGGAGCCGGAACCGATATCTGTCCGGAACTATCTTCGATTCTATTTAACTTTCCGAAAATCTGCTCGCTTCTTGAAAAATGACGCGTCTACGTTCGACGGAGAGATTGCTTCTGGTTGAAGGTGTAATTTATCGAGATGCGGGGAATATGTATTAATGCACGGAGATTGAAGAGGTTCTTAGTTGCGGAGTTGTAGTTTATTGTTCGTAGAGAGAACTTCGTACGACCGTGAAATTGGTTGAAGGAAGTGGAGATGTTGCTGATTTTGTTGTAGCTGTGCTTGTTCTTCGTTTGGTGTAAATATGGATCGATTGTTTGTTTGAATTGACGAGTGGTAAGTTTAACATTGCGCACATTGAGTGGGATCAGAAATGGAACGAGCAATGCGGCGAGATATTTTTTATATTCCCATTTCCTCTGCTATAGTTGAAGATATATCGTTACTATCATTTTCATCCTCATTAATGAACATTCTATACTTTTTACGAAATGTCAATAGAATTTTAAAAACACTACTGCATTTGCTATCACATTCCTGATCTTCGCTAATCATCAGACGCTTTCTGTCTGAATTACGGTCGACTAATATCACTAGTTTCCCTATCGCTTTCTATTTTAGAACTCAAATAAAAATACTAATAAATTTATTTTCTATTTATTCCTACTAATCCCTCGTCACAATTTGATACTTACAAAATTGACAAAATTCTGCAAGAAGCATAATTATGGTTCGAATAATGGTCGACTTATACCACTAGCTCTCTATCGCTTTCCATTTCAGAACTCAAATAAAAATGCTAATAAATTCATTCTCTATTCATTCCTACTAATCCCTCGTCACGATTTAATACATACAAAATTGACAAAATTCTGCAAGAAGCATAATTATGGTTCGAATAATGGTCGACTTATACCACTAGCTCTCTATCGCTTTCCATTTCAGAACTCAAATAAAAATGCTAATAAATTCATTCTCTATTCATTCCTACTAATCCCTCGTCACAATTTGATACTTACAAAATTGACAAAATTCTGCAAGAAGCATAATTATGGTTCGAATAATGGTCGACTTATACCACTAGCTCTCTATCGCTTTCCATTTCAGAACTCAAATAAAAATGCTAATAAATTCATTCTCTATTCATTCCTACTAATCCCTCGTCACAATTTTATACTTACAAAATTGACAAAATTCTGCAAAAAGCATAATTATGGTTCGAATAATGGTCGACTTATACCACTAGCTCTCTATCGCCTCCCATTTCCGAACTCAAATAAAAATGCTAATAAATTCATTCTCTCTATATATCCCTACCAACCCCTCGTTACAACTTAACAAACATAAAATTGACAAAATTTCGCAAGAAAACTGAAACCACCATTGACAATTATCGACTATTCTCGTGCTGTCTCACAGGTCTCCAAGTCGAACACACACGACGTGACACTGGTGGACGTGTCGAGGAAGCTGACGGGGAAGTACAAGTGCGAGGTATCAGCCGGAAGTCCTTCGTATCACACGCTGATCAAGAGGGCCAAAATGGAGGTAGTAGGTGAGCTTGTAGATCTGTTCGAGCTGGGAGAATTAAAAAGTTTCCACCATAGTAGACAAATCCTTCCTCGTTGGTGGATCGCGTGATGCGGTGCACGTGCGCGCCTACGTGCGACCCATTTTCATGTCAGATCCGGGGGGATCGAGGAGAGCTTCCCGGAAGGAACGCGACACGGCCCTCAGCTACTACCGGAACACAACCTCACCCCTCGCCTTCCTTTCTAGCGGACAGAAATCTGAATGTTGGAGGCGCTTTAATTATCGACGGATTCCTCCTGCTTACGATTTCACTACGAGTTGCTTTTCGCGCGTGTGCAAGTTGAAATTTTGGGAGTTTGAATAATAATGTGTTGAAGAATTTAGGATATTTTCGAGGATCTTTTTTTTGAGGATATGGAGAAATTGTTGTTACTCTAGACGGTGTAAAATGAGGATGTTTGAATAATTGAGTTTTTTATGAATAGCGACGAAAGTGCCTTTAATATTCACAATCATAAATTCATTTCATTAGGATTTACCTCGAACGAATTTTCTAGACCAATCGTAAATTAATTGAGCCATTCAGAAGCCAAAGTGACCAGCTCCGTTGAATTAAATTTATTAATTTCTTTTATTTATGAAGAATTAAGCAAGTGCTTTGACATTAAAATTAAAAGAACATGAAAAAGTGGAGTTAATCACTTTGGCTTTTGAGTGGTTCAATTGTAGCTGCTAGCATAATGATTAGATACAGAAGAACCACTTTTCACAAACATAACAAAAAATTCATTCCATTCAAAAGACCATTCTATCATAGGTATCTTCAATGAAAATATTAAAAAAATTCCTTTCGTTAGAAATTTCAACTCAATTTTGCAAAAATTCTATCCAATCAAATTGCAAACCATTTCTAGCTGTCAGTAAAAAGAAAACGGATCACAAGAAAGTACTTTCTATAAATATTCAAAAGGTTCATTTTCCCAAGCAAAGAAATCTTTCAAAGGTATGATACAGGTGCATGAAGCAACTTAATAACCCGCCCTCGTGGAAGAGCATCTCGACGCCAGGGGCTGGCGAATGGCCAGGCGTCGAGTTAATAGTAGCGTCCGTTAAACGACGTAATTATTATGCCTTAGACGCGCCGAAAACGGACCCGATGATCGGCATCGAGAAGGAGAGGATCGCGGTTGGCGAGCTGTTCCGGGCGAACTGCACCACGGGCAACTCCAGGCCCGCCTCCGCCATTACGTGGAGGCTGAACGGGGATGTCGTAAGTATATCGCCGTGGAACGCTCTCTCGCCTTAGCCCCGTACCTATATACGTCCTGCGAACCGTAGCTACGTGACCCTGCTGGATGATTAAAGTTCCAGGAGGTACCCACTCCTGCTCTCACTCTTCACCATTTTCTCTCTTTCCGTCTCTCTTCTTTTCTTCCTTTCTCTATTTTTCTCTTTCTGTCTCTCTCCTTTCTCTATTTTTCTCTTTCTGTCTCTCTCCTTTCTCTATTTTTCTCTTTCTGTCTCTCTCCTTTTCCCCCTTTCTCTATTTTTCCCTTTCCGTCCCTCTCTTTTTCCCTCTCTGCCCCTCTCCTTTTCTCCCTTTCTCTATTTTTCTCTTTAGGTCTCTCGTACGATCTCTCTCCCTTCCTCTCCCTTTTTGTCTCTCCTTCTCTTTCTCATTCGCTCTCTTCATTTTTCTCTATTTCTACCTTCCTTTCTGTCTCTCCTCTCCTTTCCTTTCCTTAGCTATACCTTCAATATGACCAAAAGTCCAGTCTAATCTGTTCAGAGATAGTTTAGCTTTCTCTATTTCCCCTTTCCTTCTTTTTCCCTTTCTTTAGCTGTACCTACATCTTGACCCAGCCCTCCTCTTTTTTCCTTTCTTTAGCTATACCTACAACTTGACTCAGCCTTTCTTCTCTTTCTTTTCTCTATCTATACCTACGACTTAACTTAGCCTTTCTTCTCTTTCTTTTCTCTATCTATATCTACGACTTAACATAGCCCAGTCCAATATGATCTAACGTAGAATGAGCTTAGTCTAAGATATATGTACTTGACTTAAACTACCCTCACGCATGTCTACCACAGTTCCAACATAATCCACCATATCAATAGACACCTAGCCTAAACCTAACCCCTAAATATCACACAATGCGCACTCAACTTAATTAATTCTCGTTACTTCCAACTAAACACTCCACGCTTCCCTAAACCAATCAAAATTTCACTCGAATACTCAAATACATACATCGCAATCACAAAGCTTTCTCATTATACCTTCAAAGTATAAATTATCTCCACCGAAGCAACAGCAAAACCAACCACCAAAAATCATCCGACAGAGTCGATTTCTCAATGGCGCGGTCGGCGAGATAAAAGTGGCCCATTGGTTTTCGCTCGGCTAGCAAACGACGGCGATGGTGGCGGCAGAGCGCAATAATAACGGGGCGCGATTATTTCGAGTGAATTATTAATGTTGCCGGGTATTAGCCCGGCCAGAGGCGGCCGACCGGCTCAGGCAAACACATATTCAGGCCCCATTGTGACGGATTAATTAATTAGAGCAATTTGATGTTCCGCTTATAATTCGTAATTAATTTGCGCACGGCAACGAATTATTCCCGGCCGTGTACGGGCCGCGTGTAAACAAGCGTGAACATAAATGCCTCGGCCCGTGCCCACGGTTCAACGATTCGTTCAGCAAACGGCAATTATTTCGTCGTGTCCAGGACCAACCTTTCCCCAACCCTCAAAAACGTGCTACTCGATCGATTTCAACGAATCAACCGAACGACATGGACGTCGAAACGACATAGAGAGGGAGAGAGAGAGAGAGATTGGTGATCGATCGGATAACGTACAAACCCACCGTTTCGTTGCTCGTTTCGTTTCGTTCGTTCTCGAAGTGGGTAAATTTTGCAAGAACCCTCGAGAGACGCTTGGCATACCTGCGAACCCTCGATTTCTACAGCTCGAATCTCGCGCCAGGGAAATACGATGTTAAGGAGGGAGGCTCGATGAAATGTGCCTCGTCCTACTTCCACGATTTTTCGAAAAACTCTCGAGGAAAGAGAGAGAGGATGAAGGAGCTTTCTAAGAATGTCTATGTGTGTGCGCGTGGAGAGGAATTCGTGTCGACACAGGGTAGTGCGTTTTGGAAGGTAAAGGTGGAGGGTGCGCGATTCTGTTGAATGTTTGATGATGAAGCAATCGTTGAATGACTCGACGAGAGGGAAATTGCGAGGCAGAGGGATCGAGGGAGACAGTTGTGGATGACGGATTCTTCGAGTGTCTGTGACAATATTTTTCAGGGGATTAATAGTGCAGTGGAATTTTTGACGATTTTTTGGTGGAATTCTAACGAATTGATAAATAGAGGAATTTGGTGAGTAATCGAGGAAGGTAGTTGTGGTTGACGGATTCTTCGAATGTCTGTGACAATATTTTTCAGGGGATTAATAGTGTAGTGGAATTTTTGACGATTTTTAGACGAATTAGATTTTTTTTTTTTTGGTGGAATTTTGACGAATTGATAAATGGAGGAATTTAGTGATTGTTGCTTTTTTGTAGGAGAAGAGCAACTCAGGTATCGATGTTTTTGGATATTTTATTTAAGTGTTGTTTATTTTGATTGGAGTGTTTAATGGAATAGTAGAATGTTTGTTAATTGTGGAGTAATTTTAGTATGGTAGCTGTTGGTACTTCATTAGGGAACTTTTGTATTGTTCGAAATTTAATTGTGTAAATTAATAGGGGAAGTAAATGGCAGAATTTTCAAAATAGAGCCACTAATTAAAATATAAGTTGCAATATTTTGTTGGAAAAATGAAATTCTATTTAAACGAGCAAAATTTAATTCTGTAAATTAAAAACGAAAATGTACAATTTTCAACATACAATCTCTAATTAAAATATTAAAATTTGCAATATTTTGTTCGAAAAATAATATTTGATTTAAAGGAGCACAAAATTTATGTCTGTCAATTAGTAACTAAAATGGTAGAATTTTCATCGTACTTTCACTGATTAAAATATCGAAAGATCCAATATTTGGATAGAAAGATAAAATTTGATTTAAACGAGCAAAATGTAATTCTGTAAACTAGCAACCAAAATGTACAATTTGCAACTTAGAGCCACCGATTAAAATATCGAGAATTGGAATATTTTCTTGGAAAAACGAGGTTCGATTTCTCCGGAACTTTCTAAACGGCCGAAATACCGGAGTTCGATGATCGAATTTTTGGCAGTAGCGCAAGCAATCAGTGTACCGAAGTGAAGGAAGCAGCGACGTGGCAAAGTATCCACTTACAGAGGCAAGAAGGCGCGTATAAATCAGGTGTCTGGAGAAGACACACGCCACTGACACGATAACCAATGGAAGGACTGACGATAAACTAATGAATGTCGTTTTCCCTGTTACACCTCTTATATACCCCTCGAATAACGCCCCTCCCCGTCACTTTAACGAGCGTGATTCGTCTTGCGTGGAATCTCACCAACACGAAGTCTCGAAGAACGCCGCTGGTGGAATCGGAAGGTGGAATTTGATAGCCAGAATCCAATTTGCCGGAAATATCGCCGGCGGATGGCGATCAAATGAGACGAAAGTAGCTGACCTTTTAAGTGATTTGCATGGCAAGCAGTACGTATTCAGCTGATTTATTATGTAATCGATGCTATAAATACGAGGCACATTTCACAGGATAGTGAAAACGTGCGCACAATGGAGAAGGAATTTGAGTCATTTGGGTTGAGGAGGATATTCTAAACTAACCTTGTTCTACTTACTGGGTTGTACAGTGTGAGACAAAAGTTTGGTACTATTTAGTACTCTGCGGTAACGTTGAATTTGATGAGGATTCCTTGTGGATTTGGAATAGTAATTTAATATATTCTAAAGTAATGTTATTTTGTATGGAGCAACATACAGTGTGAGCCAAAAGTTTGGTACTATTTAGTAATTTACAGAAATGTTGAATTTGCTTAGGATTCTTTGTAGATTTGGAATAATATTTTAATTTATTCTAAAGGAACGTTATTCTATATGGAGCAATATACAGTGTGAGCCAAAAGTTTGGTACTATTTATTAACTTACAGAAATGTTGAATTTGCTTAGGATTCTTTGTGGATTTGGAATAGTAATTTAATTTATTCTAAAGTAATGTTATTTTGTATGGAGTGATATACAGTGTGAGCCAAAAGTTTGGTACTATTTAGTAATTTACAGAAATGTTGAATTTGCTTAGGATTCTTTGTGGATTTGGAATAGTAATTTAATTTACTCTAAAGTAATGTTATTTTGTATGGAGTGATATACAGTGTGAGCCAAAAGTTTGGCACTATATATTAACATACACCAATATTAAATCTGCCAATGTTTCCTGATGAATTTGCAATTCAGATGCCTCACGAATAAACAATAATTCCTTTTATTTCGCTAGATTCGAGTGATAAAGGATTTACCAAAAAATTTGTTAAAGCTTCAAACACGTTTCTTCTATTTTCACTAATATCTTCCATGTTTTACCGCGTTTAATTTTGCCACGGTATTTCGATTATAATTTCCCGAAAAAAAAAAATTATTCTCAAGCAGAGTCTCTGCCGTTTCGATCGTATGTTCGAGCGGACGATCGAGGGCATAACTCAACCAAGGCCATCAGTGATCGGTTAAACGCGTCGAGCCACGGCGGCGTAGCGATTTAACGGAATAATTTGGTTGATTTAACAAATACCGCGGAATAACGATTTATTTGCATACAAGGCTACCGTGAGCCACTCTCTCGTAGCCGAAACATCGATTGGCCGGATATATATCTCGGTAGATCTCGATAAATTTCATTCCCGTCGCTGCGCTCGTGTACCGAAAAGCTCCGTTCGTCGCTGAAATGTGAAATGACCAGGTAGTTACAACACGAGTGTGCTGATTGAAAAACAAAACCCGGATCGAACGCGTCGAAGATAGAGAAGAGAGGAAGAGGGGGAATTGGATGGGATCGTATCGATGGTTAAATCGTGAAGTGGTTCGCAAAAATGGCGGTTCGATATGAAGAATTACTCGTGTTTACTAGGAAGGTTTTCTGTGATTTTGAAATTTCTGAAAAATTTATTCACTCCTGAAATGTTTCTTTTAATTTTCGGTTCGAGATGAACTATGCCTATTATTTGAATTCTGTGAAAATGGGGGACGATCTTCTGTGATTTTTTCAACGACAGTGGAGAAAAATTAGAAGAGTTCTGAATTTCCAAATTTTTAGAAAATTTAT